GAAGAAGATTTACAAGAAGAAAGTTCTATTATTTCTACATCACAACCGGGAAGAGAATTAGAGGAATCAGACATTTTAAACAAACAATATTTTGAAGAACGACCAAGACATCAGACTCCACAACCACAAACCAACGTAGAAATAAATTTTGAACAACAAGTAACAACCATGAATAATGACCAATTCAATCAATTGATGATAGCATTAGGACAACTTACTGCACAGCTTGGGAATCAACAAGGAGGAAACGGAAATGCAGCTGTCCCAAATACACCACCTAAGATCTCTGTACAGATTCCTATTTTTAAAGGAGAACCAAAAGAGAATGTATCAGCTTGGTTAATGCAAGTTGGAACAATTTTTGCTGCTCAAGGAATTGATGATGCTGCCACCTGTTGTTACTATGCCAGTACTGGAATGAAAGAAGCTGCTTTGAATTGGTACTTAGCTAGGATGACAGAACATGGAAACAATGTGGGTGTACCATGGGATGACTGGAATGCTTTTAAAACCGCTGTACAAGCTGCATTCCAACCCCCAAATTACCAATCCTATTTACAACAACAATTACGACAATTAAAACAAACAGGAAGTGTTTGAGATTATACTACCCAGTTCCAAAGTGTTGTTGGACAAATAGAAGGAATGGGAAACCTGGACCAGGTGGCGTACTACTTAGATGGATTGAAACCTGACACTCAAAAAGAATTGACATACCAAGCACCACAAAATTTGGAAGAGGCAATAAAACTTGCAATACGATATGATTCTGCAATGTGGGGACTTGGGAAACCAATAAATAATAATAAGTCACGAACTACAAATTATAATCGTCCACCACCTTCACCAAGAGATGATGGGGGACCAAGACCAATGGATCTTGACTATATTGGAGAAAGTAAAAATCGTAACCGTACGAACTATCAACGAAATAAGTACTCTAATAATAATAATAATAACAATAAAAGTAAGTTGGCAAAAGAAGGATGTTATAATTGTGGAAAGTTAGGTCACTTTGCATGAGACTGCAGACAAAAAGGAAGTTCCACGCTTAAAAATATTGAAAAAAACACTGCCAGTAATAACAAACTGGAACTGATTCAACTTAGGGAAAATAAAGAAAGATTACTTCGGTTCAATGGTAAAATCAATGGAAAAGAAGCATGGATTCTATTAGATAGTGGAGCCTCTCGAAATTTCATCAATAAAAAGTTTGTAGAAGAAAACAGGTTAGCTGTGAAAATTACCCCACCCCTAACTATTGAATTGGCAGATGGACGAAAAAAGGAGACCAATCAAGTGGCAAATGTTAGAGAATTGCAATTAGGTGTATATCAAACCAAAAATCTAGATGCACAGGTTACTGAGATCCAACATTATGATGCCATCTTGGGGAAAAGTTGGTTATACCATGCAAATCCACAAATCAATTGGCGAACAAATACCCTAGTTTTCAAGTATGGTAATAAGGAAATGGAAGTGAAGGCAGATATCAAATGAAGTAACTCAGTTGAATGTCAATCTATCTACATCTCCCGACAACAACTAGCAAGAACCTCTATTAATGAAAGTTTGTATGCTGTATACCTTGAAAACATGGACAAGTATGATGAAACAACTCTAAATCCATAAGCTCAGAAAATCTTCAAGGAATTTCCAGATGTTTTTCCAAAAAGTTTGCCTGACCAACTACCTCCAAAACGAAATGTAGATCATGCCATTGAGTTAATTCCAGGGGAAGAACCACCTTCTAGACCTATCTATAGACTAACATACCAAGAAATGAACGAATTAAAGAACCAATTGACTGAGTTATTAAAGAAAGGATTCATCCGACCTAGTGTTTCACCTTATGGCGCACCTGTCCTATTTGTACATAAAAAGGAAGGAACCCTTCGACTTTGCGTTGATTATCGTGCACTGAACAAAATCACTATTAAAAATCGTTATCCACTACCTCGTGTTGAAGACTTGACTGATCGATTAACTGGTGCCAAGTATTTTACTAAGATTGACCTTTACTCTGGTTATCATCAAGTGAGAATTCGTGAAGAAGATGTACCAAAGACTGCTTTCCGCACTCGCTATGGACATTTTGAATTTTTGGTACTACCATTTGGGTTAACTAACACACCTGCAACTTTTATGACATTGATGAATGACATTTTCCGTGAGTTTTTGGACAAATTTGTAGTTGTGTATTTAGATGACATTTTAGTATATAGTAAAACAAAAGAAGAACACTATAAACATCTTCACCAAGTATTAAACACTCTTCGCAAGCATAAACTCTACGCCAAGATTAGTAAATGTGAGTTATTTCAAACAAAAGTTGAATATTTGGGTCATTATATTTCGGATCAAGGAATTTCTGTTGATGAAAGAAAAGTAGTGGCTATTAAAAATTGGAACATACCAACAAATCTTACCAAATTAAGATCATTCCTAGGCCTTGCAAACTATTATAGAAAATTTGTTTTAAACTATTCTACTATTGCCTCTCCTCTCACACAATTACTACACAAGAATCAATCATATGTCTGGGGAGAATTACAACAAGTTGCGTTTAATGAAATCAAGGAACGACTAACATCTACTCCTGTTTTATTAATTCCAAACCCAGAATTACCATTCACAGTGACAACAGATGCTTCAGACCTAGCTATAGGTGCTGTGTTGAGTCAGAACCAAGGAAAAGGCGATCAACCAATAGCATATGAATCAAGAAAACTAACTTCAGCAGAAAAAAATTATCCTGTACATGAAAAAGAATTGCTCGCAATTGTACATGCTATAAAAATTTGGAGACCATACTTAGAAGGCCAGAAATTTACAGTGATCACAGATCATGCTTCACTTGAATATATTCATAGTCAATCTAATCTATCTTGATGTCAAGCAAGATGGCTTGAAATTCTTCAAGCAACACCCTTTGAAGTAAAATATCGTCCTGGGAAAACTAATGTGGTAGCTGATGCACTTTCAAGAAAACCTCAATTATCTGTCATATCTACTATTTCTACTACTTTAATTGAACCAAATGAACTTAAAAAAAGCTATCAAGAAGACAAACATCTTGCTCAGATTTGGGAAATACTTCATAGTACTAGTACAACTGCTAAACAAAAGGCACAAGTAAAGAATTACAAATTGGTTGAGAGCAAAATATACCTCCATGAAGGGGAACGCCTTGTAGTACCTCGTCAAAAAGATATAATCACCAAAATCTTACAGGAAGCACATGACAATGTTACTTCAGGACATCTTGGACGAGATAAAACATATGAAAGAATTGCACGGACATACTATTGGCGGCGTATGAGTAAAGATGTAAAAAAATATGTTGCTACATGTGAATCATGTCAACGAAACAAAAGTACAAATCAACAACCCACAGGTCTTTTACAGACATTACCAACCCCAAACAATCAATGGGAACAAGTAACCATGGACTTCATTATTCAATTACCTCATACATCCAAAGGTTATGATGCCATTGTAGTAGTTGTAGATTGTTTGTCAAAAAGGGCACATTTCATACCTTCAACAACAGAAGCAACTGCACCTGACATAGCAAGAATATTCTTTGATAACATCTTCAAACATCATGGATTGCCAAAAGCACTTATATCAGATCGGGATCCAAAATTTACCAGTCAATTTTGGCAAGCACTTTTCAAGTTACTTGGAACAAAGTTGTCTATGTCTACCGCTTACCATCCTCAAACTGATGGACAGACAGAAAGAATGAACTGCACTTTGGAAGAAATGCTTAGGGCATATACAACATATCATCAAAATAAATGGGACGAACATCTTTCTGCTGCTGAATTCGCCTATAACAATTCAAAGCAAGCTTCAACTGAAATGACACCTTTTGAATTAGATATAGGACAACACCCAGTGACACCATTGGAACTTGCAAACAACACAACTAAAGTAGAAGCAGCTGAAAATCTATATACAACTTGGAAAAATAATCTACAAATTGCCAAAGACACATTATTAGCTGCACAAGAATGCCAAACTAAATATGCTAATCAGCATCGTCGAGATGAAACTTATAACATTGGAGACCAAGTTCTGTTGTCAACTACAAACATTAATGATGACATCAATAAAAATCGTCCAACACGAAAGTTAAGTCCAAAGTGGATAGGTCCATATCCAATTGAAGAAGTAATATCATCAACAGCCTATAAATTAACATTACCAAAAACAATGAAGATACATCCAGTGTTTCATGTTTCTTTAATAAAACCATATAGAACAACAAATGAATTCGAAAGGGAGATACCACCACCACCTGTTAACATTAATAGTGATAAAAATGAGCATGATGAATATGAAGTTGAAAGTATTTTGGATATGAAAACAAAACATAAAAAGAAGTTCTATCTCATAAAATGGAAAGGATACCCTCTCTATGATGCAACATGGGAATCTGAATCAAATCTAACTAATTGTCATGAAGCTTTGCAAAAATTTTTGAATCAATGAGGACATTGATTTTTTTTAATGGGGGGATAATGTAACAGTTCGTTTTTATAATGATTATCAATTGGTACTAACTTATTTGGATTTTATTTTCATCTGTTTATATTTTATCAATCTGTGTAATCTTAATTATAAAAGAATGAACAT